CCAGTCAAAGATATGGGCCATTAATGGCAAAGATATCAGTTTCAGAATGTTTATTAGTAATATGCAGGTGCAATTTAGTTAATAAGAGCGATTTGTTTATTTCTACACAGGCTGCTGTTCAGGATGTTCATTTGGTCAGAGGCAAACTGGCCCCTGACTGAACCTGGCTTCTCCCAAGGTTTTTTTATTTGTTCTCCATCAATGTCACCTGATGGAATCTTGGATCCTTTGAACTTTGAACTGACTTGAGCTGAATAATGGCAACATTGCTCTTCTATAGAGCTGCTTCTGACTGAATTAAGCTTGTTTCATAATTTGAGGAACTTTGCATTATTTTTTAACTAAACCGAGTTGAATATTTACACTACTGCCTTTTTAGAGCTGCTTTACAGCTAAAACTGTATTTGTTTCATAATTGAATATATAATGAATTTAAGATGGAAAAATAAGGCTGTGAGGACTCATAACTTTCATACCTCTCTATGGGGTTTTTGTGCATTGAACGTTTTCTTTCATCAGCTGAACAATCGGTATGTTGTTAAACAACAGTACAATCCACTGAATGCACCATATTTTATCCATCATTCCTGTGAAAAAAATTAAATATGGCACTACTCTGACTAAGGCCTATTGTCCACCTTGGATATTTGCTGAGGCCCCTGGTCCCCTGGTAGATACTAGAGGGTTGGCTATTTTGATTGTTTGAGCTTCATAGCAACAACCCACAACAGGCTAGCATTATGGCAGTGATTTCTGCAGAAGTCAAATCTTCTTGGCTCTGATGGCATGTGACAAGCACACTTTAAGTTTTGCTTACCGTGTGATGGGGACGTTTGGCAGACACGGACAGCAGCAGCAGCAAGGTCCCGTGTTGATCTTAAATGACTTGTTCTCTGAGCGCCTGAGAAACGCATTGTCTCCTCCGACCTCTTCAATCATGAGAATCAGGAATTTGAAGACCACAATTGCAAAGTATCTGCCAATTAAGTCAGAAATGTGTTAATTTGTGTCACGGTTGCACACACACCCACAATTTCTTTCAAAGTTCTGAACACTGGAAAATATCTGGGACAGAAAGTAATTTGAAGAGTGAAAACAATGTTTGACTGCTACTGAATTACATTTAATACATAATTTATACTTCATTTTCCCATGCATTCCATTCCACACTCTGGAAAAGTAGTGTTAAGAGTGAACTCACGTGGCTGATGTCATATCAGTGAACATTGTGGCCCTTGGAACCCACATGCCCAAACAAGACATGGTTGCAATGACCTGAAAAAGATAAAGATAAATATAATGCCTTAGAAGAAGATGAACTTGAGACTCATTATCACTCATCCAGGCAGTAATGCACTAGAAATGACTAACCGTACCATTGCCTCAGTTTCCGTCTGGGTGGGATACAGATAAAGCTCATATCTGACATGTCAGTTCTAATTAGGAGTGATGAATTATTAAAAGTACTTTTTAAAATAATAGATTGTAAAATACCTGAAGGCAGGGAGGGAACTTAAATGATAACATGATGAATAATAGAGCAGATAAAAAGGACAAATGTTCGACTGACAGAACTCACCGGTGCTGCTCCGGTTACCCAGATGATTACACTTTTCTTATTTGGAGGTACTTTCTTATAGATGTAGATGCATTCTTCGATGAAAACCAGCATGGACACTGTGGCCATTAAAGTCAGCACAGAGAAGAGGACAATGCCAAAGATATCCAGCTCTGAAAAACACAAACACCACCATCAGAAGATCCACATGGCTACAGCATTGTCTATACTTTTTTAGCATTATCCTAATGCAAGCCTTGTTTTATATATATATATATATATATATATATATATATATATGACACACTTCGTTCTGCCAGTTGGTGGAGCTATAACTTTGACTTCTAATAGTCACATCTATGCGATCAGCATCATACATCGAACAAACCACTGAAGTTTGAATCAAAATCAGAGAATGTATGTGGATGTTATTAGTCGCTTCCTGTTTCTCATTTCTCGCCATAAATTCATCGCCTTGCCACGAGCAAACCGTTCGAGATATCAACAATCCCTCCGCAATTTAGCATCCCCCATGTCTTGAGATCATGTTCACCGAGTTTGGTGGCAATCGGTTGGAAACCCTCATAGGTTTTTGCCTTTTCATGTCTATTCATGTCTTTTTATTTCTTAAAAAACAGGACTTTTTAAAGTCCCGGTGTCTTCTACAGAGGACATGGCATAACATATGAATAAAATATCATTTTTCAAAAAATTTATTTTTCTAATTTTTTCTTGTGCTCTAAACAATGTAATGACATGACAAAATACTAAATTCACAAAACAGTTTTTTCCTGCTAGTCAGGAGGATATAAAAACATATGGCCATCCATTTATCAAGCAATGCTTTTACCTGAAAAATGAATGGTGTGGCCATCAAAGTCAAATTCAAAAGTAACTGTAAATAATACACAAGATATCTTAACATAAAAAAATACCTGGCTAGAGTACAGTGAATATTATATTCTGATTCATACGTTTGATTATACAACTCTGTATCATCACAAAAGAGTTTATGTAAATGCTGTTTATAATAAATAAATAATTAAGAAACAAAATCAGAATATTACTTAAAATACAATATTCAAGAAAAAAATAAAAATATGACCACAGTACTTTATCCCAATTTGGAGACTGTTATTTACATAACTACATTAATTAGATAGCCTAATATGAAAACTAATGTTTTATGTTTTGTATTTAAATAGTAGGAAATCGGTATAATTTCCACCATTATAGTTATTGTTGCTAAAGTAAAATAATAATAATAATAATAATAATAATAATAATAATAATAATGGGGTCTCCTTAAAATAGTGTAAAAGGCTTTAGGAGGTTTTATCTTTTTGATAAGTAACTACTCTTTTCAGAGAATGGAAGATTATACTATTTACTATAGCAGGATTGTGCTATTACAATGGCAAAGTTTTTCTTATTTTTTACGTATCTACATTAATAACAACAAAGATTCTACAGTAAGAGCAACTTTATGTTTTGACTGCTGTTTTAAACACAAGTTTCACGGAAATTAACATTAGGGAACAACTTTCTGCAGAAATAGCCTAACAAATTAAAGATACTTACGCATAATAACATCAATAGAGAACGGAGCCTCTGCCCTGCATCGCGGATCAAAAAGTGTGAAATTGGACATTTCCATCTTGACACTCAGCGTTTATTTACGAGATCCAGGGCAAACTATAATCCGTGAAAACCCCACTGTCCTCACCACAGGTTACTTTCAGCGTGCATGAAACTAATAAACTGAGAGGAAAGCAGGCTGGTGGTTTGTAGACTTGGTGTGTAGAGGAATCCCTTCACTTGTTAAAGGGGACGCCCATGCAAGGTGTAAATATTGATGGGTCACTGACCAATGAAAATGCTCTTTCATCCGACTACACTGCGCCTGCGCAATAGCGTCACACTCACACATGGTCACGCTGTAGAACAAACAACTCCCGAATGCTATAAAATGATTAGGTAAAGTAGAGGATAGGCATTTTATTAACTTAAAAAAGACATACTATTGTATAATACAATCGTGTTGATAGTAGTCACTATACACGTCAGTGTATAAAAAAATTAAAATAGTAACAATTGTGGAATTTTTGGTTTCCACATGTGTTTCTTCTTGTATTTCTAATGAAACTACGGTTAAATCGGTTCAGAGAAGGGATGAATAGATAGAATGTTGGCTAGAAAGATAGTCAAGCTATATGCAATTGACAGAAAAACTGAGACTTCAAAACACGTGTGTTAAACAGGCAAGAACAGTAACTGGGAGGGTTTAGGATACAACTCAAGACAGACCAAAGTTCACAAGACTGACAAATATACACATTTTGACAAAGATTGTTAAAGGAGTATGAGAAAAGTATGTTTAACATGCTGAACTTGTGATTTGCAAGAGTTGAATGGCCTCAGTGCTAATGAGCTGGAAAGAGCTCAGGGTAAAGAACAGCCCTTGAAACACTCATGTGTACACACACACACACACACAGAGAGAGAGAAGAGAGTGTGTGTGTGTGTGTGTGTGAGAGAGACTAAGTATAATTGTTGCAGTTTTTTATTAATAAAAAAGACATTTATTGTTACTTGTTACATATAAGCATGTACTTCATTCACAAAAAAATATGTCTTTGTTTTTACATTATCTGTAACATATGCATTTTAAAAGATGTAATAAAAAAAAAACCTAACCTCCAGACTTACACATAAGTAGATCAAATAAGTAACTGTTCTTGACATGCATTAAAGCACAAGGTTTCCATTTTTTATTTGATTATAACAGAAATAAAGAAAATGATACAAGGACACCAACACCAAATCTTCTATAATAATTTCATTATGGCTTCATGTTTACTTTTTCCTTATTAATAAAGTATAAAATGTAATGAATGGCAAAAAAAGAAAGAAAATATGAACAATATTATAAAGGCTGTGTAATTCATAATTCATATAAGAAGGCTGTCCAAAAGACTAAAATAAAAAAACATTAAAACATTCTTTACCAATATATGCATTCCTTAACACCACAAAAACCGCTACAACATTTCACATACAACATTACTTCAGAGAGAGAGAGAAGAGAGTGTGTGTGTGTGTGTGTGAGAGAGACTTAAGTATAATTGTTGCAGTTTTTTATTAATAAAAAAGACATTTATTGTTACTTGTTACATATAAGCATGTACTTCATTCACAAAAAAATATGTCTTTGTTTTTACATTATCTGTAACATATGCATTTTAAAAGATGTAATAAAAAAAAAACCTAACCTCCAGACTTACACATAAGTAGATCAAATAAGTAACTGTTCTTGACATGCATTAAAGCACAAGGTTTCCATTTTTTATTTGATTATAACAGAAATAAAGAAAATGATACAAGGACACCAACACCAAATCTTCTATAATAATTTCATTATGGCTTCATGTTTACTTTTTCCTTATTAATAAAGTATAAAATGTAATGAATGGCAAAAAAAGAAAGAAAATATGAACAATATTATAAAGGCTGTGTAATTCATAATTCATATAAGAAGGCTGTCCAAAAGACTAAAATAAAAAAACATTAAAACATTCTTTACCAATATATGCATTCCTTAACACCACAAAAACCGCTACAACATTTCACATACAACATTACTTCCTGCAATCATTGTAAACACCAGCAATCTTCATAAATGTGCTGAAAGTCAAAAATATGGTCACTGATGGTAAAAGTGATAAACTGAGATTTTACTCAGCACATAAACAGTCAAAGATGTTTTAAAGAACAATAAAAACCATCTGGTAATACTTACAAGCCATTCAAAGTCAGATCTGAGACAGTGAAGTTTGCCATTAAATGCTGTAGGTGTATAAATAAAACTCATCCATCTATCTAAATTCATGAAAGACTCATTTGTTTTTCTGTATGGAGATATTTTGTCTCTTTTTACTAGTTAATTTACTTGGTTCACCCTCATTTACAACAAACACTCCAGAACAGCATCACTCAGATGCGCACCTGCACATATGTCTTGATTTGTCAAGGCATTTCTTTAGAAAAGTCAGAACACAAATGAAGCAATCACCGCAGTTCACTTTGTAGTACATAAACACATCTGGATTTCCAATTTTCCACACATCAGTTCCACATAAGTTCAGGCTACAGTCACAGCTTACGGGCACAATTATTATTCCACACTGGACCAAAGTATACAAATAATAACTTGTGACAAATATAAATACACAAAAAGAACATTTCACCGCTTTGCAAAATGGCTTAAAAATAAGTACTCTGAATCTATAGAGCTATTCACAATGCTAATGTATAAAATATAAAGGGAAAAATGGTAAAAACATAATTTAATCGAGGACTGAGACTAATAAAGTCTGGTGGTACAATACCAAAGACCATTGACTGCACCGCGTAACACAATATCAAGCAGTGTAAATGCCGCCTGCTGGCCAGTTCTGACACTGCAGGAGGAACCTACAAAGATTTCAATTTGGTTTCCAAGATGACACTGGCTACACTGCATGAGCAGAGAGGTATTACTGACATTTTGTAAACACTCCTGTAGAGTTCAGAGCTCTGGTATTAAGCCCTTTATATGGCATACGTAAAATGTGCACAACATTTCACACCAGAATCATCTCAAGATGACGACAAAAAAAAAAATAAAAAAAATAAAAAAAGTCACCATAAGTGGAGCAGCTTAAGAATACACAAAAAAGAAATTCAGTCATTTGCAGGCATTTTTCCTCTGCCTGGACACACTCTGTTGCACTTTGTGAACATGTATGTGTGTGTGTGTGTATATATTAGAAAAATGTTAATGAAGTTTAAAAAAAAAAAAAAAAAAAGAAAAAAAGTATAATATTCCATAACGTAAGTGCGCGAATGAGCACCTTGCGCTCTGAGGTGTCCATTAACTCTGGAGCCATCAACACTCCAGATGAGCTCAGTCACACCGTTGACTTGGTATGGATCCAGAAAATAAAACATTTCCCATCTTTCCCTCCAGTAAACAGCAGTTGGTACCAGATGTGGTGCATTTCCTGATAAACACTTGGAGAGCAGTTTCGAAATTTCTAGCGCCTGTATCAATTCACATGCACATGAAATCTGCATGTCTCGTGAAGGCCTGAGCAACAAAACAGTTTGCTGTACAAAAACAATGGATGTAAAAGACATGCGTGCAAATCTCTTTGTTAAAAGAGTGCAGCTACTATAGTTGAACGGGGACTGGGAGCATTTCTACAGATGTGAGGACAGATTTGGGACACTCCAGAAGCGATGGGCAAAGGAAAGTGTTCAGGAGCTTTCAGAGAAAAAGAGCTGTTTAAGGCATCAGCTTTGATGGCTGTGATTCTCCTCAACAGTCCCCAATACTGGGAGTCAAAGGCACGAGACCACTGAGGATTCACCCCTCACCAGCTTTAGTCCTATTGAAGGAAATTACATCGTAAATACAGTTCAAAAGTTTGTGTATTGTGTATTTTTTGTATCAAGGGTGCATTTACTGTGTAAACTCTTTAATCATTTATTCCTTCATTACTCAAGTCTTCATTGTCACATGATCCTTCAGAAATCATCTTACTGACCGTAAAACTTTTGAACCGTAGTGTATATATTGCATTTACAAACTGTGCTGAAATCACCTTACCTGGCTATGACTCGCTCTCAATGGAGATAGTGATGGCCTCACTTTCATCTGAAAGGCAAGTTGATGTTATTCTTAGAACTTTTTTCTCTCATTCCTTGCTAGAATGCTGCAAAATATGTAACCTACCAGACTTTAAGATGTCGGTCTCTTTGTGATCTTCTTCAATGTGGTAATCGTTGCCTAACAGATGGTTTTGGGACTCACTAAGAGGGGTGGTTTGCTCAGCAGACCCTTCTACAGCACTGAGGGAAAGAACCACATTGAGAGTTACTGCTATTCATCTGGTTTTGGTTAGTGCCCACCCAATAGTGAAAGAAGAAATGGCTCCTCACCCTTTATCCAACCCGCCAGGCTGGAGACATTCAGTGGGCTGCTCTGGATCAACAGTAACCAGCCGTGTAGGAAAAGAAAAGCCATCTCCTTGACTACAGCAGAAAAAAATATCTAAATGTATCTTTTAATGGATACTTTATCTAATTTTAAAAACAGTAATATTGTGAAATAATATTACAATTTTAAATAATTGTTTTCTATTTTAATATATTTTTGAATGTAATTTATTCCAGTAGTGGCAAGGCTGGATTTTCAGTAGCCATTACTCCAGTCTTCAGTGTCACATGTAGGGATGTTCATTTCGGTTATTTTTCCTAACCGACGCTCGTTAACCGATAACCGACAAGATTATTTTAAATTAGAATTTAATACAATTATTCATTTAAATTAAAGGATAAGTGTCTGTGACCCGTTAAAAATACTAACATTTGTTTCCCGGGGATTAATTTTACATGCGCAAAAAGCAGCAAACAACAGAACAAGAGGATTCACATTGTCATCATATCACATCACGCACCTGCAGCGCATCTGCGAGCGGAGAAAAACATAATAAAGCTAGGCTTTATTATATATATATGTTTAGGCTTGTCGTTTATATTGCCATAGCTTCTTATATTTTTAATTCTTGTTCTTTTCTAAATACTGTTAATTGAAAGGATTTGTTGTGGAGTGAGGGGAACTAAAATAGCCTAGCTATGTTTACAGTGTTTATTATAATGTTTGTAAACATTTCACATCGGCATTAGGCCTATTTCTCAATGAAATAATAAAATGCAACTTATACGCGACTTATGTTTTTTTCTCTAAAAAACACATTTTTATACGCGTAGCGTATTTTAACCAAGCAGCAAACCTTTTTAAATATTTTGATAAATTACTGGGAAAAAAATAAATAAATGACTTTTTAAACCGTTTAACATTGTATTAATCGGTCAAAATTCTTACGGTTGGTTAACGGTGAAAATGAACATCCCTAGTCACATGCTTAACATATTTGTGGAAAACGCGATACTTTTTTTTCCAAGATTCAAGAGAAACCTTTGTGCTAAATGCATTTTGACCAATGTACCGATATAATATATCCTTGCTAAATAAATGTATTAATTAATTTCTTTAAAAATATATTTTTATATTTTTTCATATTTTAAAATATACTTTTTTTTTGTTTGTGTGTCACTGTTTGATTGCACTGTAGTGTAAAAAAACCAACCAAATTGTAATATTTTGGGTTTTCAAAAGCATTAACCCCAAGTATGAAGCAAAATAGGGCCTTAGTAAGCCGCACTAATGAAAACAAGTTAATATTTAGACTCACCTGGTAAAGACAGGAAGTAGCCAGTACAGCTTCTGGTCCCCAAACACCTGAGCAATGTTCTTGCTGAAGCCCAGGGAAAATCCATTTTTATCAGGGCCATTTCTGAAGACCGGGGCTCTGAACGCTTCTGAACATAAATAACAACACAGAAGTGGATTAAAATGCATACGCTACTACCTTTTTAAAAGTTGGGGTTCAGTCGTTTGTTTGTTTTTTTGCATGTTTTAACTACTTTTATTCAGAATAGCTGTATTAAATTGACCAAAAGTGACAGTAAAGACACTAATAACGTTACAAAAACTTCAACATCCCATAAATGCTGTTTATTTGAACCTTCTAGTGATAAAAGAATATTAAAAATGTGTCACGGTTTCCACAAAAATATTCATCAGCACAACCATTTTCAACATTAATAAAAACATTACTTGAGTACCAAAATCAGTATATTAGAATGATTTCTGAAGATTCGTGTGACACTGAAGACTGTAGTAATGATGCTGAAAATTCAGCTTTGCCATTATATAAATATTACATTTTAAAATATATTCAAACAGTAAATAGGTATTGTAATTAAGAATAATATTTCACACTATTAAAGTTTTACTGTATTTTAAATGCACTCATGGTGAGCATAGGAGACCTTTTCAAAATCATTTAAAAACATCTTACTGACCCCAAAATTTTGAATGGTAGTATAGATGCATGGCAAACCACAACATGAAATCATGAGCTCTTGGAACTGAAGGGGATTTATGCTTTTTCAAAATAAAATTACAGGGCCTGATGGAAAAACAAGCCGGGAACTGCTTCAAAGACTGCTGGACTGATTTGGTCAACACAAGGAAATCTGAATGACCAGTTTACCAAAATAAATCTGAACAAGATTTAGCCTGTGCACAGCAAGTCTACTGTTGTTGCTATGGTAACAATAGTGAGCAAGTTGTCTAGAGGCATTACAGTTTTGTTAGAAACATGAATCTATCTATACAGCACACGTAGACAAAGATACAGAGAAGTGAATATGGTCAGGTGTGTTACCTATGGTGGACCTGTTTTTTCCCACAAGCCACAAGTGGTAAGTGAAGAGTGAAAGAATGCTGATGCAGAACATGGCCGCCACAAAAAAGAGAAACAAGACATGGAATTTGGCGTGAGACTCTGGCAGGTCACTCTGAGAGAGGGGGGAGAGAGAGAAAGGAGAGCTGTGAGACAAAGATCAACAACCAACAAGACATGGGCAACAGGTCACTCTGACACAACTTGACAGGAACGTTAAGGGTCACAGGGTTAAGGCGACAAAAAACAATCAATGTAACTCACTGCGCTAACACGGACACGTTTTCTAAACACTGTGAGGGGTTACCTTTGGACAATTCTCTGCCGATTTCCTCCGGCAAAGCTTAGTGCAAACAGAGACAGACTGTTAAACACAGGAAGAGCACAGCGGGAGAGCAAAAGCTTCGGGTGCAGAGAGACACGGGCAAGAGGGGATTACAACAGCAAACAAGTGCTTGTCGAAACATGTACACTACTGTTCAAAAGTTTGAGGTCGGTAAGATTTTTTTTGTTTGAAAGACGTCTCTTTTGCTCAAGGTTGCATTTATTTGATCAAAAAAGTAATATTGTTAAATATTAGTTCTATTTGAATATATTTTAACATTTAATTTATTCCTGTGATGGCAAAGCTGAATTTTCAGCATCATTACTCCAGTCTTCAGTGTCATATGATCGTTCAGAAATCATTCTAATACGCCGAAGAATTTCAGGAAACACTTCTCATTTTTATCAATGTTGAAAACAGTTGTGCTGCTTAATATTTTTGTGGAAAACATTATACGTTTTCCAGGATTTTCTTTAATGAGTATAAAGCTAAAAAGAACAGCATTTATTTGAAATCTTTTATATCACTGTCACTGTTGCTTAATTTATTACATCACTGCTGAATAAAAGCATTCATGATTTTATTTCAAATAAATCTTACTGACTTTTGAATGGTAGTCTAAACAAACAGATGAAATGGAAAGGACAGCATGTATGAGGGTGGCAGAGTTGTCAAGACATAAACTGATGCATGACTAGCACATGGAGGAAATGCAGACAGGAACCTGCTGAAATCCCATAACTATCCACATAATGACCTACCTTCGTATGACACAACATGGCAATGAAAATGTTTACAAACATTTCCCACAAATCAGTATGATGAAAGGTGGGGGATCTACTCACTGTCCAGAACTTTATGAAGTACTGGAGGACAGAGGCTGCGATGAATAAGCAGTAAACAAGCGAGTAAGTCAGGAACAGGATGAAGAACTTGTAGTTGGAGAAACCCACACAGTTATTCACCCTGTAGAATATTGAGAGAAAGAGAGATAGAGTTAGCAGGGTGTTCTTCACATTTATTTTCAACTATATTAAATGTTGGTGCCAACAACCTGCATCTCACTCACCATGGACAGTGATGATCCATCTTTAGAACACACCTGTCAGTAACAAGAACAAGCACTGAGTTTAAAGCCCATTCAAAAAAAGACCAAAAAATATGGTGTACTGAGTAGCTAAAATGACACAAACGAAACATGAAAGCAAAATGTCAAAAGAACTATTCATGAGACACTACAGTAACTTACATGTCACATGCAGAACAATGATGACACCTGTCTGGCTTGATGACCTGGCAGCGATCACAGTACCGGATAGCTAGAAGATGAGGGAGGAAAAATTATTCCAGTTTCTATGCCTATTTTTATGGCAAAATGAAGATTAAAATAGACAATAATGAGGGTAATAATAAATTGATAATAATAAAAATAAATAAATGTGTAAGTGTAATAATAAAACAAGAATAAATAGATAATAATAAAAACAATAATAAACAGATAATAAAACAATAATAAATTAGTAGTAATAATAATAACAATAGATATGTTCTATTCAAATATGTTTTTACATTTTAACAATAAAGACTATACAAGATGATTCAATTTGATCTTTTAACATTTTCTTTTATTTCCTTTTTTCTAAAAAATTAATGCCCTCAATGTTTAAATACAGATTATTTACACAAAACTTCATAATGGCATTTTGGCAATAAAATAACTGAATTACTTAAAGGGGTCATATGATGCAATTTCAATTTTTCCTTTCTCTTTGGAGAGTTACAAGCTCTTGGTGCATAAAGAAGATCTGTAAAGTTGCAAAGACTAAAGTCTCAAATCCAAAGAGATATTCTTTATAAAAGAAAGGAGTTAACCACGCCTACCTAAAACGGCTCGTTCTAACACGCCCCACATGTCTACGTCACGATGTGGGAAGATTTCCATAACGCCGCCCAAATGTTCACGCAAAAAAAGAAGGCGTAACTTTTATTCTCGATGTAGTTTTGTTGTTTCCGCCGCCATGTCATAAAGATGCTGTGTGCTTCGTTGTGAAAGCGAAACTACTTTGTTTGACCTTCCAAAAGAGGACGATATCCGCGTCGTCATGCCTGGAGCTGATCCGTGCTGGTCGCTGAGGAAATACATCAACTACGCGCTGTAGATCGCCGGATTAGCTTTCACCGTG